AGCCGCCGCCGCCGCTGCCGCCGCCGCCAGCGGGCCACCGGGCGTGGCAGCCAGCGGGCTGGCCGGACTGTAAGGGTGCAGCAGGGGCGCGGCGGCCGCGGCGGCTGGCTGCTGGCCCGTATGCTGCGCCGCCTCCACACCAGGCTCGGGAGACAGCAGCGTGTTGGCTCCTGTGCGCAGGTAGGCATGAGCCAGACCATACACGCCCATGCCGCCGGGGCCTGCGGGTGGGCCAGCCGGCAGGCACAGGGTGGGCAGCAGGTGGGGGCATGAGCGCGCCGCACGCCGGCACACTCTCCACCCTGACTGGTCGGCGGCAGCCCCTGGTGCACCCATGCTGCGGCCCACCTGTTACATTCAGCAGGCCGGTGGCGGGGACGGGCGCGGCGCCGGGCGCGCGGATGGCGGCGGCGCAGGCGGGCTCGGGGGACAGCATCTGTGGCCCCGTGCGCAGGAAAGCATTCATGATGCCGCGCACTCCTGCACAGAGAGAGAGGGGGTGGGGGGAGCGCGAGGCGGGGGTGCAGGGCGGGCCTGAGGGCGAGGCCGATGCAGGGGGCATGTGGGCAGAGAGGCAGCGCCCCTGGCGCAGCCCAGATGCAGGCGGGCTGGGCAGCGTGGCGGGCGCGCACCCTTGGGCGCCGCTGCCGGCGAGTCGTCGCTGATGTGCTGCAGCAGCTGCCAGGCCTCGGGCGTGGGCATCGCGCCGCCGCGCGCCGCACCCTGCCCTGCTGCGCTGGCAGGGGGCCGCGGCGCCGCACCCGTGCCCGCACCCGAGGCGCCGCCCCTGCTGGCTGCGCCAGGGGTGGGCGAGGCGCGCAGCCAGGCCTCTAGGGACCTCTCACTGGCGGGTGTGAGCGCCGCCGACTCCAGCAGCCCCGGCGTGAGCCGCCCCACCTCTGCCTCCGCCGCTGCCAGGCCAGACGCAGGCGGCCGGGCCGTGCTGCTCGGCGTGCCGGCCGCCGCCGCGGCGCTGCAGGCGCTGCCGCCGCTGCAGCTGCTGCCGCCGGCAGACGGCGGGGTGGGCGCGAGGAACTCGCCGCCATCAAAGCTGGGGTTGCTGTAAGCGTGGAAGCCCTGCGGCGACGCCTCTGCCGCCTCCCCGCAAGCCTGCTGCTGCTCCTGCTGCTGCTCCTGCTGCAGCTCCTCCAGCTGTGGTGGCGGTGCAGGGGTGGACAGCATGGCGGCATAGTCTGGCACAGGGCTGGCGCCACCAAACGCTGGCGGCCGCGGAATGCGGCTGCTGGCTGCGGCCGGCGCCGGCTGCTGCTGGGGTGTGCCCGCGGGACGCGAGCGTGCCGGGATGCGGCTGGCGGGTGGCGGGTGTGCCGCTGTGGGTGCAGCGGCAGCAGCGTTCAGGCCTGCCACAGCATCGCCCGCCGCCACCGCTGTGCCCTCCACCTTTTTGTTCTTCTTCTTATCAGACTGCGGCATGGGCGGCTGCATGCGGGAGGCGCGGCTCATTGACCCCGTCCTCCGCTGCTGCCAGCCTCTGTCCTTGGTGCTGCTGCCCACCGCGTCGGCTGTCGTCGCCGCCCAGCTGCCGCCGCCATGCTGGTTGCTGGCGCGCAGGGGGCTCAGCGGCGACCGCTGCGGGCCTCGCTCTCGCGTCATGCTGGCTGCAAGGCAGGGTGGCACCACAAGGCCTTGGTTTGCCAGCAAGCTGTGGCTGTCCAAATCGCCCAAGCGCAGAAGAGGCGGGCGCGAGACGTCGGAACGGGGTTCTCAGGGCCATACTGCATTCCAGGCACTCGCCTGGGCAGCCATCCCGGCGCGAGGAGGGGAACGCCACTCGGAGTTTGGTTGTTGGCGTCGCCTGGGGCCGTGGAGGGCCACCGGAACGCACGTGCTACAAGAGGCGAGTGGAATGCGGGGTCTCAGCCTCGCTCAGGCACCGACAGACCAGTTCGCACCCGCCTGTACCTGTACTCTGGCTCTGTACTCCAGGGCTCTGAGGGGCAGCCTTTCTGGCGGCTCCCATGCACACGTGCTGCACTGATCGATCGCTGGTGGCCTTGGAAGCCCAGGCAGCCTCCCTCTGCTTGACCCCCGCATTCCAGCCCAACATGCAGCGGCGCCTGGCCCATGCAGCTGGCAGACTACTCGTGGAGGGCCAAGGGGTTGCTCTGTGCCAAGGGTTTCCCGCAGTTCACTGGCAGCTGGCGCCACCGCCCGCCGCCGGCGCTGCCGCCCTGCACCTGCCGCCGGGCGGCCTGCGGTGGCACTCGGAGCTGGCGCAGCGCAAGCCGGAGGGCCAGCAGGACTTTGTGTACGAGGCTCCCTTTGGCGCGGCGGTGAAGCGCGTCAAGGCAAGGCCGGCCCCGCCGCCTGCGCCTGCTCAGCCGCCTCGACGCCCGCTGACGACCTTTGCCACCCGCCACCCGCCCTGCTACTCCCACGATGCACTGATGATGCACGCACAGCCATC